AAGGGTAACACTGAATAGTTTCAGTGCCTTGAACTTTGTATAAAAATGGTTTGTGTTAACATTGAATAGTTTTAAGGGCTTTGAACTTAAAATAAAAAAAATAATTTGTGCAAACAAATTTTGAACTAAATATTATAACATCTGAAATTTTGGTTGCATGCAGGGGCATCCGTGGCATGATGACACATTTCTAGTTTTTAATATGTCATTAATCAGGGTATCTTAAAATAAATCTTAACTTCATATAGACATCAACATCTTCTACATTTAATCTTTAGGATTCAATTCTGTATTTCAGTTAGTTCAGGTACTAAAACATCAAATTTTAACAATATTGATTGAATATTTTGAAAAATCGTTAAATCATAAAAACTTTCTGAACATTACCCTCATTGTATATAAGATTCAATGTATACAAGAAAATTGATCTGTAGGTATATTATACTTTTTGCTCCATATTTCACAAAATCTCTATATTTATATCAGATAAGATCTGTTACATTATATATTGAAAATCTAGTCACTTTTGAATCCAAATGAACTTATTTTTTTAACGTTTTATATTGTTATATTGAAGTGAGGTGTATGCCTTTGTCAACTCAGAAAAATAGGTTTTATTTACGTTTTTACACATTAAGAATGCAAATGAAGTGTGATCATTTGTATAATTTTCTGCTGCTATTTTGTTATCTCTGAGTGAATTACTGAAGAAATTAGTAAACTGTTGAAAACCTGTCCTATATGTATATAGTTTGTCTGATTGTAATCAATTTTAAATAATAAAAACTTGAAACACTACCATAAAGTGTAATTTTTACTGTGATATTACACAAGTGATGAAAGAAAACCAGCAAGTTTCATGTACTTTACTCTATGAATGACTTTTCTATGAAAAAAGGGTTAATGGAATACTAGCCAAAGGTAATACATAACCGGTAGCTATAAGGAAATACATAATTATCCAGTATCTTTAATGAAATACATAATTATCCAGTGGCTATAATGGAATATATAACCGGTAGCTATAATGGAATATATAACCGGTAGCTATAATGTAATATATAACCGGTAGCTATAATGAAATAAATAACCGGTAGCTATAATGGAATATATAACCGGTAGCTATAATGAAATATATAACCGGTAGCTATAATGAAATACATAACCGCTAGTTATAATGAAATACATAACCGGTCGCTATAATGAAATACATAACCGCAAGTTATAATGAAATACATAACCGCAAGTTATAATGAAATACATAACCTGTAGCTATAATGAAATACATAACCGCAAGTTATAATGAAATACATAACCTGTAGCTATAATGAAATACACAACTGGTAGCTATAATGAAATACATAACAAATAGCTGCAACTGGTTGCAATAAAAAGAATACATAACTGGTAGCTAAAATGTAATACATAACCAATGGCTGTAGTGAAATTGTAATGAAATTCTATGAACTGGTTGCTATAATGGAATACATAACTGGTAGCTATAATGTAATACAGAACCGGTAGCTGTAATGGAATACATAGCCAGAAGCTATTATTAATTCTATACCAGTACATAACCGGTAGGTAGCTACACACTCCTCACTTGAGTGCGACATTTCATAAATTCTAGAACTGACAAAATAAACTTTCTTGTATATTATAATTCTATTTCATTTCAAAATTAATAGTATCTCCACATCTTCAATGTCAAATATTACCAGTAAAGATGCCCTAGAGTTTTCCCTACGACAGGTTTTCTAGATAGAACTAGAAAATAAATGTTGTCATTTTCGAGACAATGGTCCTTAATTTTTTGCATTTGGTATAGCTATTGTATTTGTACTCTTAGAATTTAACTTTCTATAATCTTGCTATATGAACATTTTGGAATGAAAAACAACTCGTGAAAATGCATTTCATACTGAATATGCATAAATCTTATTTTCAAAATAAATAACATTATAAAATCCACAGATCTCATACTTACTAAGTACTGAATATAAAATCTCATGTCTTAGGTGTCAGAGTTGGTTGGGATATTTGTCTTACATTTACAAGAAACAGACGTAAGGTGGTCCATTAATGTTTGGATGGAGTATGGGTCACTGGATTCTAGGCCAATGTCTGGCATTTATGATTTGATTATAAATAAAGTTTTATTGGGCATTATGTTATCATTGTTTAGACTTTTGTGTTTAAGTAACACTTTACTGTTTCATGATGGAATCTCCTTTACTCATAAAGATTTGCAAATTCAGAATAGTTCAAATGTAGCTCATTGTGTAATACATGTATGATGTGTATTGAATATATGAAACTGCATACTATTATTGTTCGTACCTTTCTTTCTTGGTATCTGATGAAATACTTTTTGATATAGGCGATTTCCTTTGTTCATTTTTAAAATCTTTTACAAGTATATACCAAATGTGATAGGTGGTTTATAGTTTTATGCCAGGACTACTAATATCTGTTTTTGTGTGCAGTAAAAATGTCTTTCAATACAGTTGTACATGTAATATATTATTGCATAGGTTAAATATCTCTTTTTTTTCTAGCAAAAAATTACCAATGTCATCCTGTTTGTTACTAAGTGAATTAACTTCTTTGTTTCTTTTGATTTTTTCGCAAATTAATAGAATTTAGTTGATATTTAGTATTTTATGTGGAAATCAAATACTTCCTTGCTTATATTTTGCTACTAACATCATTATACCCCCAAAAACGAAGTTTGGGGGGGTCGGTCGGTCGGTCGGTCGGTTGGTCGGTCGGTCGGTCGGTCGGTCGGTCCAGACGTCCGTTGCATTTTCCTTGTCCGGAGCATAACTTGAAGACTAATGGTTGGAATTCAATATAACTACACACAATGGTCAAGCACATTGAGAGGAAGTGCAGTGCACAAGATCCATAACTCTATCTTGACTAATTACAGAGTTATTGCCCTTTGTTACTTTTCTTTGTCCGGGGCATAACTTGAAAACTACTGGTTGGAATTCAAAACAACTTCATACAATTGTCAAACACAATAAGGTGAAGTGCAGTGCACAAGAACCATAACTCTATATAAAGACGTCCGTTGCATTTTCCTTGTCCGGAGCATAACTTGAAGACTAATGGTTGGAATTCAATATAACTACACACAATGGTCAAGCACATTGAGAGGAAGTGCAGTGCACAAGATCCATAACTCTATCTTGACTAATTACAGAGTTATTGCCCTTTGTTACTTTTCTTTGTCCGGGGCATAACTTGAAAACTACTGGTTGGAATTCAAAACAACTTCATACAATTGTCAAACACAATAAGGTGAAGTGCAGTGCACAAGAACCATAACTCTATATAAAGTAATTACAGAGTTATTGCCCTTTGTTGCTTTTCCATTGTTTTTTTTTGTCCGTTGCATTTACCTTGTCCGGAGCATAACATGAAGACTAATGGTTGCAATTCAATATAACTACATACAATGGTCAAGCTCATTGAGAGAAAGTGCAGTGCACAAGAAATATAACTCTATCTTGACTAATTACAGAGTTATTGTCCTTTGTTACTTTTCCTTGTCCGGGGCATAACTTGAAAACTACTGGTTGGAATTCAAAACATCTTCATACAATTGTCAAACACAATAATGGAATGTGCAGTGCACAAGAACCATAACTCTATCTAAAGTAATTACAGAGTTATTGCCCTTTGTTGCTTTTCCATTGCTTTTTTTGTCCGGACCATTACTTGAAGACTAATGGTTGGAATTCAATATAACTACATACAATGATCAAGCACATTGAGAGGAAGTGCAGTGTACAAGATCCATAACTCCATCTTGATTAATTACAGAGTTATTGCCCTTTGTTACTTTTCCTTGTCCAGGGCATAACTTGAAACCTACTGGTTGGAATTCAAAACAACTTCATACAATTGTCAAACACAATGAGGGGAAGTGCAGTGCACAAGAACCATAACTCTATCTAAAGTAATTACAGAGTTATAGCCCTTTGTTACTTTTCCATTGCTTTCTTTTATCCGTACCATAACTTAAAGACTAATTGTTGGCATTCATTATAACTTCATACAATGGTCCAGCACATTGAGAGGAAGTGCAGTGCGCAAGAACCATAACTTCATCTTGACTAATGACAGAGTTATTGCCCTTTGTTACTTTTCCATTGCTTTCTTTTGTCTGGACCATAACTTGAAGACTAATTGTTGAAATTCATTATAACTTCATACAATGGTCAAGCACATTGAGAGGAAGTGCAGTGCACAAGAACCATAACTCCATCTTGACTATTTACAGAGTTACTGCCCTTTGTTAATTTTCCTTGTCCAGAGCATGACTTGAAAACTACTTGTTGGAATTCAAAACAACTTCATACAATGGTCAAGCACAATAAGGGAAAGTGCAGTGCACAAGAACCATAACTACATCTTGACTAATTACAGAGTTATTGCCCTTTGTTACTTTTCCTTGTCCAGAGCATAACTTGAAAACTACTGTATCTATAAACTATAACTCTATCTTCAGTATTTATAGAGTTATTGCCCTTTGTTCCTTTTCTTTGTCTTTCTGGACTTATTACAGAGTAATTAAACTTCATCAATGGCCAGCCACATTGAAAGGAAATGCAACATACAAGAACCACAACTATCTTTAATTGCCCACAACCATAACTCTATATTTCAATTCTTTTACAAGGTTTTCTGTTACTAGTAACATCCTCATTTCCGAAGCAGTCTTGTGGTTCACATTTAGTGATAGTTTTAGTTGAAATTTAATTTCACATTCACTGCATTTTTTTCTCTCTCAAATAAAGCATTAAAGGAGTATTTATATAAACGTTATAAAGTCCATTTTTGTCCTTTGAAAGACGAAAAAAGATATTTGTTTTTAGGCATAATGGGCCTGTTAGTTTTATTTTGTTTAAAAGGAGGAAAGCGCATAAAATTAGGCAACTAAGTAATGAAAAATAAAATAATCCCAATATAGATACAAAAATGTGTTTAAATTCTACATTTATTTCACTGAAAACAATCTCACATACACGTTCAAACAATTTAAAAAATATATAAATTTTGTATTAAATCATAATGCAAGAATACAATGCATGATAAATCAAATAAATTTTTCACAAAATAAATCAAACTAGTAGTATCTTTACATATTGAATATCCATATACTTGTGCAAAATTTTAAGGCAAACAAAGTCAGGGTGTCGGTGTAAAGCTATCGCAATCAAGATATTAAAGTGACTGTGCTTTTCTGTTTACATTTTATGTTTGAATATTGATTTTTACATTTGAATCAGATTGTTCTTTAAATATGTCTATTGATATCATACACTTCAATGTTGTCATCTCTAAATCTGCTTATATACATCTTAGTCATTTGTTGATTACAACAGGCTGATATAATGTTGCGTTTTCCACTATCATCTTTTATGATCTCTCCTATCAGCTCACCATCAGGTGTAAACTGTAAAACATTATTGGAGGCTTCTACAGATACCAGCACACTACCTGCTTCCGTGAGATAACAACATGTAGCCCCTATTAATTGATCATTATAAAATGATCTAATAACCTGGCCATTCTTGTCCAATACCGTCAGTCCATTATGATAGTCAGCAACATAAATCCTTGTAGCATCCTGACTAACAGCTAGACTGTATATGTCACAGTCAAATCCTGATTGATCATAACTGATCTGTTGAAGCTTCTTACCAGACAATGTATACATATATACTGATGTGTTCTCATCTGAAATATATAAATTATTGTTTGCATATGCAAGACCAAAACATTCAAAATCAGTTTTAATCTCGTTTGTAGTTTTCTTTTTTCCACTATCAGAAGTGAAATAAACTTTCTTTTGTGATGGAACAGTTACTCCTACTTGTGTGTTATTGATCAAACACACTTGATATGGCTTTCCATGTAGATCCCAGTACTTTGTGACAGTATAGTTATAACGGTGTAACCGTTTAAGCTTGTTGTTGTAGTAATCAGCTAGAAATATTGTACCATCTTCCATACAGCAGGCACTCCTGATATAACATTTCTTTCTATCGGACACAACTTTAACATTATATGATTGACTTCCTTTAATCTGAAATAAAGTGGCAGCAGTAAGTTTCTTTGATAGAATGCCAAGAGTCTTCTTTTTTTCTAGCTGTGTAAGAATTGTTCTATCAGGTTGAAAATCTATGCCTTCCACAGAACTTTTAAATTTTGCATCTTCTATATATTTGTTGGCAACATTCGCAGCATTCTCTGCTATCTTCACATAAACAAACACTTCAGATTGATTTATGTTTGCAGATGCTAATTTAACATTAGCTGATGTAACCCTGGACTTGTTTGTTTGTAGCTGTTTGAGACTATCTTCAATCTTGTCTTCAAGACTTTTGACTTTATCATCTATCTCATCTAAAGAACTTTTCTCCAGCTTGTTAAGATGGTCATCGATTTCTTGTCGGAATTTTCTGATATTAGCCAGTAGTTCTGCTTTCATCTTCAGCAGCCTTTGTTTATCCTCTTTAAATCTATCACATTGTTTTGCAAGAGTTTCAGCTATGGCTTTAAGTTTTATTTGAATTTGTCTGTATTCAACTTGGTAAGTATTGTTTTGGATAAATTCAGGTATGTAGAATGTATCCTTGCAAAATCTGAAACATAAGTTCAGACAATTTATAATTATATGAGGCTATCAGATAACTGAGGACCGCCTCCGTGGTCGAAGGGTTAGAGTCAATGACTTCTAATCCAGTTACCTCTTTGGCGTGGGTTCGATCCCCGGGAGATGCTTTGGTAGTTTAGCACGGAAGAAGGTAGTCTAGTACTGTACTGGTGTAACTCTCCAGGGACGATGGTTAGGGAACTACCCGCCTATATGACTGAAATACTGTTGGGAAAAGGCGTAAAATGAAACAAACAAACAAACAGATAACTGAGGAGATTAAATATTTTATTCTCTGTAACATATAAGTATTTAATTAGTATATTATGTTAAGACTTTTAAGAACCTATTAAACATTTCATATATAAAAGTGACATTATGCCCATCCAAGGGCCTTATATTTCTTGCATTTATAATATTATGTTTTATCCTGAACTATTTCTTATGTCAATTGTTATTTAATCAGCATTACAAACAGTCTATCATGTGAAATGTATTGTCAATGCAGCTTAACATGACATTGAGAAATCTGTTTTTATATATAAAATTTTACCTGTGATCAACTGCCATACATGTAGAACAGCCAACCTTATCATGGTTCTGACAGTACATATCAATGTGTTTATGACTGTGCCTATCACATCTCTCTGTTGGTGCCCTGGGCAGACCTATGCTGGTTCCTGACTTAACTTGAGATTTATCCAACACCTTGTGACCAACTAATACGGGAACGACATTGTGAACTTGAACACAATTTCTACAAAAGTAATCATGACAATCTACACAGAATTTTTCGCCTTCAGTATTTGTCCCTTTATTTTTACACATTGAACATAATACGTCAAATAGTTCATCGGAAAGAATATCTGTATCTATTTGATTACCAGTAGCCATTTTGTAGAAATTTTATTCAAATATGTTATCTGAACTGATCTATTCACCAATAAAGCTGTCCCAATTTGGTTTCAGAGTCATTTTAAGTAACACTTAATCACAGTTCTTACGTTTTACTCCTGTAACAATATTTAACTTATTCCTTTCTATGTATAATTATCATCTCCAATTTTTGCCAAGTTATTTGCAAAAGGTTCACCCTTCTATGGTTTCCATTGAATAACGCCCCTTTTTATTTCACGGTTGTATCATTATCTGTTAAAATGTTGATCCAAAGTCCACAAAGGCTAACTTCCAAATTGATAACTCTTATCTAAATACATGTACACAGTTTTAAGTATTTACATCAGCTTGGTTTAACATTATGCTATTTATAAAGCAATAAAACTCCCGAAAGAAAATAACCTGAACAATTTTAAGAAAAGATGCTTTCCACAAGTTCAGCTAATCAAAATCCTAGGGCAAGCCAATACTAAATTTATAAATATGGTTTAAAACAGGACTCCTGGTAAAAAAGCTGGAAAAAGATTTACATGTACCCATATGCATTTATAACAGCTTAGTATATGAAATGTATACATATTTTAAAATATTTTAAATGATTAGAAGAGAGATTTTTTGTATCATTTCAGATGGTTAATCAAGAATTGATCTAAATTTTGGTTTTACAGACTCTGTAATTGCATGGTGTAGAAAGGATAACAAAATGCTATTGGTATATTTTTATAGACTAACTTACTTAAATAAGGTGGACTTTTTTCCTGCTTATTTTATGGCCTTTCCCCATAAATATTCTTGGCAAATTGAAATTGTTTGACAAATACCATTTTTATGTTTTCTCAAACAAAATTTTGCTTTTATTAATTCTTAACAATTCTAAGGGTATAATTTTTAGACTAACTAACTTAACTAAGGTGGACTTTTTTCCTGCTAAGTTTATGGCCTTTTTTCATCTAATTAAAGGACCTTAGGTGGATTTTTTTCCTACTAATATTATGGATTTTCTGCCTAATGAAAAACCCTTGGGCGGATTTTATTCGTGCTTTGCAGTATCCTAGCCAGAATCCGCCTTATAGGACAAACTGGCATATTTCAAGCTCTAGTCTCACTAAGGTTAGAAATACGCTTTATAGTACACAAAGGTGGAAACCTCTTACTTATTGGAGGCTTTTCGTATGGGAACTGTTGAAACAAACATGCATTCAGGTAAAGTTATAAATTAACAAAGTTTCAATATACTTTTGGATCATTTATTTATACAAATATACAAGTTCATATACATAGCACATAGACATACAAAAATGCATTTGAATCTGTCACTTTTAGGCAAAAATGTTGAATGTACAGAATAATTTATCATTGTATATTTTGTGTATATTCTCTGATTCAAGTAATTAAATAATTGAGGAAACAAATCATTGAGAAAAATATACAAATAAACAAGTGTTAAGCAAACTCAAATAACAAGTGATTAGCAAACTATCAAGAATAAATAATACTCGGTATTATAGAGGACTCTAGAAGTGAGGGTTGCAGGGGGTTATCATTACAGTTACCGTCATACAGCAATTTTATAGTTTTTATCATTAAAATTCAATGTTCAGCCATGTAACATTCAAGAAATTCAAAGTTTCCGATAGGTTTAAATTTCAAAATGCTTATCCCAGGTGAAAATGTTAAACACTAGGCCATGCCCGGACAGCTAGGGACTCAAGCCCCACCCCCACTTTCCACCACCATTTTCATGCCTTAGATGATGGATCAATATTTAATGAAATTGTTAAAACTATCTGTATCTGTATTTTTAAATGTAATGTTAGAGGAGGTAACTAGAATTGCCAGTTGGAACTACCCAACAGGTTGCTTCTGGTAAGATCTTACTTTTTTACTTTTAAAAATCAAGATTTCATCCAAACTTTGTAATACTACCTTATAATAGCCCTTGTCCTGCAGAATTTATTTAAATGAAATTTTGGGAGTGTCTATCATCAACTTTGGGGATATCAAGATAAAAATTTTAAGTCAGTCAACGCCAGCAGTATTGAGCCTGGTCAGACTACACACATACTATGCAGACTGGCCTGGCTTAATACTAGTGGCCCTAGTTTAATCACTTTTGGTTACTGCAGGATAATGGTTCATTAACATTTTTTTTTAATCAGGCATTCAGAAAATACTAATACACATACTGAAAGCTTAAACAATAATGAGTATCTATTAAACCAATGATAAGAAAATTACAGCGCAGAATAATAAATGTACATAATTATAATATTATAACTCAATGACTAGCATTTGCTGTATAATCGAGAACAACAAAGACATTAATTAAATCTACAAGACTTGAATATTTCACAACAATATTAAAACCACAGATTCCTTGTTGCCCTGACTATTTAAGATCAGCATAACTATATAGGAAGCACAAAAATAAATTGACAAAGACTTGAATGTGCAATTTAAAATAATAAAAATACTATTTTTTTCTGAATTATGAAGTCAATGTCGTTTCAAAGGAGCTCAACTGAGGTCCTAAAGCATAAAATTCTAAATTCTTATTCTAAATTCTCTTTTTGGAACATATTTATCAAAGAATTATGCAATAGACATTAAAGAATATACTCTGAATTAAATTGAAACTAATTTTTTTTTTAGATTTTTTAGCCAAATTTGAGTTATTTGCATCATCTTGCACACTTACATTGATTATTCTGGTAAAATGGACTGAGAAAATGATTTGAAACTTTACAAATTAGTTATTGGCTCAGACCTATATCAAATAGTACACAAGTCTAAAAAAATCTCAGTGGAATCCCTTTAAGAACATTTGTAAACTATCTCAGCCTTGTTGTGTATTAAATAATTATACGGCTCGTACAGAATGTGGATTTTTCTATGGTCAACAATTGATAGAACATATTCTATTTCTTACTGCAAATGAACCAATTAATCAAGCATACCCGTAACAATATATGTCATCAAAATACAATCTTTCTTCTGCTAAACTCTACCAAAAAGAGACCTAATGGTCTCATAAAATCTTATAAAGGCTGATAATGGGAAAATTAGAAAAAATACAAAGAATTTGGTAACACAGGCATATATTATCAATATTATTGTTCAAAATTTTCACTGTTTATACATAATACACAAGAATATAAGAGAATTTATATACAGTAATACATAAAAGAAACAGTACTCCACAACAATACTGAATGGTACAAAAAAGTAGCAAAACAACAACCAGGAATCTAATAATTAAAATGTCAGTTGAAAATTATATACAATACAGACCTGTTCTACAACCAGGCATACATTTGTTGTTTGTGTTGTTTTGTAACTATAAATTATTATCTGCAGAAGTAAGTCACTATTTTGAGTAAGTCAAGTCATTTATTAAACTAGTATAATTAAGCCATCTTTCTTATAGTTATTGACTAATAATGAGACAAACAAAACTTATAAAATAAATAAAACAATTATATTAAAATCGCCAAAAAAACAGAACCATTTTCTTTAGATTTTTTAAGTGCTGGTTATATTTTGAGTGTTGGTCAAGTATTTGTAGCGCAAAACTTATTAAAGGATGGCCAAAAAATTGTTTTTCATTCGGCAATGAACCCTCAAATCTATCATTGTAACCAATCAAAGAGGTTCACAACTTAAAAAAAACCCTTACAAATGGGTTTTTATCACGTATTATAAACTAATGTTAACATTGTTTTAATAAACAGCATGTCAAATATTTTAAATAACTCCACTGAGGACCAAAAACATAAAATTGTAATTTCTTGCATAGATCAGGTGGGGCACTTAAAACAGAAAGATACAGAAAACTTAATTTCAAAATATATTTGGATATAAATTTGAAATCGTATGTCTGTGTTGACACGAGAATTACAAATCTTAATTGTAATTGGTAAAATCAGTGTTCATTGAGAAAATATAGCATGTTTTATACACCCTAATATTGTTGTTCATTACAACATCTAAGCTATGCATACTGCATTAAATAAATACTGAACCGATGTTCCTGCACTAATATACCAGTACTTACCACACAATTGTATGACACAAACGTCACTTGAAAACTCACTGGCAGCTGAATTACGAATAATTCCCAGGCAACATGTTTATGACCAATAATATGAGATTGCAATTCCAAATTTCTACTGAAAGGGAATGACCAAGACTTGATTATTTTATATGCAAAGGGGATCAAACCCAGATTTCTAGACAAAAGGCTCTTCTAAAGAGAATATTGAATAAGCTTAAGTTCAATAAGGAATTTAATGAACACATTTAACTAGGCTTATCACTGAAGATGATTAATACCGCCACCAGCAACTTTGACTTTTGATGGTTTAAAAGTAAATGAAGTTTCACCTGTGTACAAATAATTAATTTAATTAATTGCAATCCCAACCAGGTCTTCATATTAGCTTGCTATACACCAAGTTTGATGACAATATCTCATTCTAAACTCTAATTATCGTCTTGAAACCATTTCTATTTTTAGTAACGGTGACCTTGACCCTAGAGGGTTCAAATGAAAGGTTCAAATGCAATTACAGCTGGGTTCTTTATATAAGCTTGCTTTACACCAAGTTTGATTACAATATCTCATTCCTAACTCTAGTTGTTGTCCGGAAACATTTTTTATATTTTCTGTTACGTTGACCTTGACCCCAGGGGGGCCAAATACACAACTAACCAGGGTGATGTTATGTGTTAACAGATATGAATTGAATGATTTCCCTAAACATATTTGATTTGGGGATATGGGGGTAAGAAGTAAGTTAATTGATTCAGGTAGGATAGCACATTTGCAAAATATTTGGTGCAGTAACATTATCTATATTCACCAGTATTATTTGTACCTATTTGTCACTTATATTGTATACAATAATATAACAAATATGATAATTATATTCCTGAATCTGCGAGGTTGCATCAAGGAGTGATTAATTCATTGTGAAGAAATGGAAAAGTGGTAATCAGTGTGATTAAAATATTTGATTCTAAAATTGAGCATTATATTATCAGTGTTTGGGATTAAAAATTAGGATTAACAATTAAACACATCTGATCATAAAGACATACTTCAGTGCTTTGCTATATGACACACTGGTATTGTTGCTTGCATTCAAAGGAGTATGCCAATGTTACATCAATAATTAATAACAAAACTTTAAGGGTTCACAGTGCCACACAAATTTATGTGCTTCATTATTT